ACCTTCATAATGCCTTCATAGAACATTCAGTGCACCTTCATAATGCCTTCATAGAACATTCAGTGCACCTTCATAATGCATTCATAGAACAATTCATAAGCAGCACGTTAGTGTAAGTTCTAATCTTAACAGCATAAATATACATTGATAAATATTATATGATCGTAAACATTATAATTATATAATCATATAATGTTTGTTATTAATGTTTATTAAGTAGTTAAGGCTTATCAGGATGTTAAGGTACGCTTATATGCTACTTATGAATGTCCTATGAATGCATGTTGACGGTGCAGTTAATGTGAAGTGTTACCATTTATTATTATTCACCTTATTTTGGAATTCGGAGCTACCTTACTTTTATTTGTGTCCATTTTTATTGTGAGCAGTTTGTATTGCTACAGGCAAAAATCTAAACTGTAAACTGAGCAGAAACTAAGGTTAAATCACAACACAGATTATGTGCCCATTACAACGTGCGCATACTTCGTTTTGATTGTGTGATTACATTTTGATTTGTTGCCTTTGGTCTACTGGAAATTTCCTCTACATTCGACATCATAATCAAAATTAGGTTTATTTTGCCAAGTGTGTTCGCACATATAGGGAATTTGTCTCTGGATGCCACAGGTTCCCGTACATACAGCAGATACATAACCGGTTTAGACCCAACAGGGCAATGGTCAGTATAGTCTGATTGATACAATATGGCTGTGTAGATAAATGCATAAAAATGCAGGAGTACATGTCAGTACAAGGATTCTGTATCGTAAGCATGATTACAAAGTGATGTCATCACTTTAGCAGCAGGAAACATAAGCCATGACCTATCAAAATCAAAGGAAATGATAACTGACACAGTTAAAATACTTTGTCAGATGATCAAACAAAACAGCCCCATATTAACCATATTAATACCACAATAGCTTCCTTTCACTAGCTCTCTAAGTTAAGGTACCTTAACTATTCTGGGGCTGGTTCCTCTGTCTTTTGTCAACAAAATGAAAAGAAAAAAAGTGATGGTGGGGAGTTTCTTTAAGTTCAGGGCTTTTAATCAAAGGTGTTTGTCACTGTTTGGTGGTGGGTGCAGGTCATAAAATGCCGAACACCCACATTCACCTCGGGTAAGCAGTCTATGGTCGCGACAGTCTTGCTCTAGGATTCTTCTTCGTTCAGCGCACGTAATAAAACTTGTTCTAGAATCCATAACAAAGTCACAGATCTCCAGTAAATCTCAGCCCAATTTAGCATCTAACCTACAAATTTCACGGGCAGACGAGCAGAGAAATAGCAGCCAGGAATGGGTACACAGATGTTCTACACAAATATTCTATGACCAAAGTCCCCCTGAAAATAAGGTGGATAAGACCGTGGCAAATAAAACTAAAATAATGACTGACTAATAAACATTCATTTTCCTCTTAAGGGAAATCAATCAGCCAGTGGACACCTCAGGAACGAAGTCCAAAATGCATCGGTTGAGAATTTGACCATATAATCCTCGTAGGATGCAAAGCATCCTGCCCCTCCCAGACTGTTCTCCGGGGGAGGGGGGGTCTCAGAAGGGCAGCACCTTGGCCTTGTCCCAGTGAAGCCTATGTCACCTTATGGCCTCACCATCGAAATGGGAGACGGGTCTTATGCTGATCCCGCTGGAATCCCGAGGAGGCGCAAAGCCAGCATTGTACTGCTGGAAAACCTTCTGGATCAAAGCTTTCTGAGGGCGCTCGACACCTCAAATTAGAAAATCGCCCAAGCATGTGCAAATAATAATGTGATAAGTGAAAGTGCTCCCACCGTGGCACAGGTGCAGCTACTCCAACACTGTGACGAGCAAAAACAAGGCTGAAGCCTCCTGGATTTACTAATCTTTCCACTACAATCTGGAACCCTAACTAGAGCACTAACTTCAAGGTCACCAAACCTGATTAAAACTATTTGTTGCTGCAGTACTAACTAGTCTCACAGCATAGCATCCATATAAAATAAAATAATGCAAGTAAATAAATAAACATAAAATTAATTAAATTAAATGAAATGAAATTAGATATGATATGATTCGATAGATATTAAAAGTATCTTTAATTTTTCTGTCAATATCTCGGCCTTAGATTTTCATTTCACAATTTATTAGATCTAGTATAGACAGTACTGCAAACATGAAATACTTTTAATTTCGTACTCTGTCCCAGTGGGCTATCAAAAAACGAATAAATAAATGGACTTGTGTACCTAAGATGTGATGATTTTGTCCCACAGAAAGCTGCATCAAAATATCTTGTCTGACAGTGCTCTCTGGGCTATCTCTCTCTCAGTTAGGGCCAAAATCTTTACAGATTGATTTGAACTGTGACAGACATTGATACTAAAGAGGGATACATCGTGGCACAGTGTCAGAGTAGACTGCAGCTTGTTCAGAACAGACAGAATCTATACCTGCCTCCTGGTGCTGTAAACATAGACAGCACGAAGCTAATGCTGATGCCGTCTCCTTGTCCTAGACGACGACCCTCCGCTTCCTGCCCCTTTCCCTCATCGCATTGTATCTCTGAGGCCCAGCCAACCCGCCGAGTCCTTTACCATCAACACCCAATCTCTTCTGGGGGGGTAAGTTATGACCCCATGGAGTGCTGATCCCCTTGTGATAGTGAGAGCTACAGTGCTGACACTAACCCTTATCAATTACTCCATCATTTAGCAGAACTACATTAGCAAGGATTCATTTATAATCAGCACTTTGGTAGTGATCCCATGATGCACATCTTTGTCAATATTGATGCAATACACTGATTACTATAAAGCAATGTGTCCTAATTTGGTCTTTGGGGACCCGCAGACAGTCCATCTGGCAGAGAACTGGGAGGGAGCAAAAATGTAGACTGTCTGTAGGTCCCTGAGGACTGGGTTGGGAATCACTACTGTAATGATGAGGTATTCCACATTCACCAGTTCGCCAGTGCAGAATTTCTAATGGGATACTAATGTAGACTGATTATACTATATTATAGTGATCTATCAAGGGTAATTATATAATTACATGCTATAAATAAAAGTTTACATGCAATGGATTTTGCATGTTCGTTATATCATGACGTAATAAGGACAAATATCAATAGTGTGACAAGACTAGTATCCTATCAATTCTCTTAACATTAGTATATTGTTACAAAAGATCTGCAAGGTTCAGACTAATACATAGTAATTTATTTATAATAATTATAGCACAATATAAAACAGTATCATCCAAAAGAAACTTGTTGGGGTGCAGGCTGATATTAGATGCATTTCTAATATATACAGATATAAAATCAAAAAAGATAAACAGCTTATGTTTAGCATAGAGGGAAGTGACTATCCACAGGGAGAAGAGAGTGACTTTCTAAGGTACAGCTGCCCATGTGTGGCTGTACCATAGCATGGCAAAGCACCCATTTGACAGTGCTGCTGTCATTTCTGCTTCAGTGGGCGCTTTGGCAGAGTGCACATGTGCAGTGAAAAAACATCTGGATTGAAGCTGGCGGCAAAGATCATAACAGCACGGAATGCTAAAGAGAAGGTGTGTGTCCTGTTCTTACATTCAGGTTTCTTTATTCATATTGTAGTGTCACAGTTTTGGGAACTCACAAATGCATATAATATATTTGCAGTGCTGCATTATAATTGTAGGGACCTCTAGAATATGGGCATTAGTATTTCTATATATTCCTGTGTACTGTACAATTGTACTGCCCTGTTTGTTGTACTGTACTGTGTTTTTTTTTCTTTTCATATGCTGTATTAACTCCATTTACCAGCATGCTTTGAGGTTCAATTGATGTCATTGTTGACCAATGATATTTGGCAATGTCTATTGCCCGCGAAATCGCAAGCGCGTGGAGGGGGCTTACGCCTGAAGAGAAATAACGACGGTTGAGGAGAGGAGAGTAAGGTGATGGTTTTTTTTTTTTTGGTTGTGGTTGGCAGCGCTGGTTTTGGTGAGGAAGGGTGGTCGAAGGGGTGTAAAGTGTATAAGGAACTCCAGTGTGATTCCTGTGGTAGCTAAGTTAGCTTGTGTGAGGACTTGCTGAATCGTTCACCGTGTTGGTTGGCTGTGTTCCCGCTGTCTCGGAAAGCAATCGACATTTCAGCGGATCTACTGTGTCGTCGAGACACAGCCAGCCGGCTGTGGATTTGGAGGTTGGCATCATCTTGCTGGATGGACGGACTCACAGTTAGACCGTTAGCCCAGGAGCATCTGCTGCGTCACTCTGCGTTTCTACGATCCGATTCACCTGGCCTGGACAGTGGTTCGTGAGTAAAGGAAACTAACACGCACACATACATTGTTCTTCCCCTGTCTCACAGAAACTAATTTAAAAAATGCCACACCACCACTCAGAGAGCAAATGAAAGCAGAGTTGTCTGCCTACTTGCAATCTGTTGATGCTTACAGTAGTGTTGTAGTAGGTCTTGGTCTCGAGACCGGCCTCGAGACCAATTTTTTGTGGTCTCGGTCTTGTCTTGGTCTCGACTCTATTTGGTCTCGGTCTTGTCTTGGTCTCGGACATAGCGGTCTCGATGGGATGGGGAAAAAAAGAGAAAACTGCACATCCTCACAGAACAGTATCATTATTTATTACGCGCCTCAATTCAAATGCAACCAGTCAGATGCATCCATTTCAAAAATGTTACATTTTATACATTTTCTTCATGGACACTGCCAGTGCTTCACAGTCCACACACATCATACACATCGTATCATACATCGGCAAAGAAATGTCAGAAAATGTCCGCGAAGTCTATAGCATAGTTATAATCCAAATAAATTAGGTATTTTACATTGATTACAAAGCACGGTCTTGGAGGTGCAAGTCAATCTGGAGGCTCATTCTCTCCATTCTCTTCAATTCAAAGCAAAGGATCATTACATAGCTGTATTCATAGCTTACCCGAGGCCTCTGTCCCTGGTATAAGAGACTTAATATGAACATCTTTCTGGTACATCTCTTTCCCTTGACGAGGTCTGATAAAATGGTTATAGGAGAGGATTGCTGAGAATATTATTTTCCATCAGGTCTCGTAACTATGACAAATCTGGGAGATATTAAATGAGAGACATATGGACATATGGACAATATAATTGAAAAGATAACATGAATTTGATTTAACGAGTAATGACACTTTACAACAATACCTTTTTTCTCTACAGTTGATCTGGGTAATGTGATGTCGATTCTAGTCTGTTTTCGGTCTTGGTCTCGACCAGTCTTGGTCTTGCCTTAGTGTGTCTTGGTCTTGGTCTTGGTACCCTCAAGTCTCGGCAGTGTCTTGGTCTTGATACCCTCCGGTCTCGGCAATGTCTTGGTCTCGGTTTAGGCGGTCTTGACTACAACACAAGCTTACAGTGAAACAAATCCCTTGCAATGGTGGAAGGTCCACAAGGAAATATTCCCAAACCTCAAAAATTTGGCACAAAAGTATCTGTGTGTGCCTACAACCAGTTCCCCATCGGAAAGGGTATTTAGTACCAGTGGGAATGTAGTTACATGCCACCAGGCATCAATCAAGCCAGAAGCTGTTGACAGGCTTGTGTTCTTAGCATCTCTAGAGAAATTAATACATTGCTTGTTGCAGTTGCCCAGTTTATTTATTTACATATTTAGAGTTTGCTATGTTATAGCTATGTTATGTATTGTTTAAAATAAAGCATTTACTGTATTAAACTTTGGTTTTAATTAATATTTGGTAATTAAATGTCAGGTATCGTGATATATATCGTATATCATGATATAACTTCAAATTATCGCCCAGCCCGATGCTGGGTTACTATCACCCATTGAAAAAGTGGTTACAACTTGCTCTGCATGGGCAGGGTGAGGAAGGAGAACCAGACCGTAGCATCGTGGTCCAGAGCTACAGGCCTGCCCATATTATCTGGGGCCGACTGCCACAGGTGAAAGAAACTGGTATTTTCCTGAATATATTGGCATCAGAGAGGAAGCGACAGGTGGCCATATTTGAAATCATCACATCTGAATACTCATACCTGCACAGCCTGAACATCCTGGTACGTCACTTCAGGGCCAGCAAGGAGCTGCATAACACCATGACAGCGACAGAGCATCACCATCTCTTTTCGAATATCTAAGACATCCAGGCTGCAAGTCACTGTTTTTTGATGACCTGGAGAAACAGCACCATGAAAACCCTTTGATCCGTGACATCAGAGACATCATACACGACCACGAGGCAAACTTCTACCAGCCGTACATCAACTACTGTGCCAACAATATTTTCCAGCAGAGGGCGCTCCAGAGCCTGCTGTCCTCCACTGGCCCTTTTAAGGAGGTGCTGAAGCAGATCAAGATGAAGCCGGTATGTCGAGGACTTCCCATGCTCTCCTTCCTCATCCTTTGTGTACTGCATCCTCAATATAACAGCCAAACTCAGACTCTGAATCAGAGGAGTTACACTGCCTAGGAACTACAGGAGGCACCTCTGTCTCAACAGCTCTACACCTCTCCTTGGCCCTCCTATGCCTCACAGCCCATGAGCATGAAGCTGGATTGGTATCAACCACAGGACCTAACCTAACCTCCTGTCCCAGAGGCAAGATGTGGTTATGATGCATGACCTTGACTGGTCCATTACCATCAACAGGCTTCAAACGGTACACATCTACTATGTAAGGACAAGAGCCCCATCTGTCAGCCAGTTTTTGCTTCCCCTCTAAGCTAAGATCCCTAGATCCCCAGGACTAACACCGTGATACCGGACCTTCTGATCATACCGCACCTTATTGCTCTTGGTTAAGGTTGTCAGCCAAGGCAAGAGCTAACTGATAAGCAACTGACCTGCAACTCTTGCTTCATCCTTTCCACATGCTTCAGATGTTATGAGGGCGACAAGTTATCTGCTTAAACACCAAAACAGACATCAATGGGGAGCTGAGCCTCCTGACCAAACATAAGAAAATAGGACGAGTACCCAGTAGCCTCATTAGGGGTGCAATAATAAGCGTGAACCAAATGCGCTATGTGCTGACTCCACTTAGACTTCTCATGGGTCTCAAGGGTGCCCAACATGTCCAACAAAGTCCTGTTGATCCTCTCAGGTTGTAGGTCACCCTGAGGGTGGTAAGGAGATGTTCTTGTCTTCTTTACCCCCAACATGGTCAGCATCTCAGTCACTAACCAACTTTCAAAGTTCCTACCCTGGTCAGAGTGAATGCGGGTGGGCAGACCATAATGAATGAAGTATTTCTCCCACAAAGTCTTGGCCACTGTGACAGCAGTCTGGTCCCTAGTGGGAAAGGCTTGTGCATAACAAGTAAAGTGCTCTGTCACAACCAACACATTACCGACATTTTGAGAGTCTGGCTCAATCGAAAGAAAATCAGTGCATACCAGATCCATGGGACCAGAACTCTGGATATGCGACAAAGGAGCAGCTCTCTGAGGCAGTGTTTTCCACTTGATACAGCGCTCACAAGTTTTGCAATACTTCTTGACATCAAGCTTCATGCGAGGCCAATAAAACCTGCCACGAACCAAACCATATGACTTATCGAACCCTAAGTGGCTGATGTCTCATGCAGCAGCTTTAGAACAAGGTTGTGGAACCGCTGAGGGAGGACCAGTTGCCTAACCCGCTGATCACCTTGCTTAACTGTCCTGTACAACAACATTTCATCAATGGAGAGCTTTGCACACTCTTTTTTTAGGACCTTCATGTCAGGATGCTTAGTCTGGATGCTACTAGCAGAATTCCTCAGCGTATCAGCCTGCCAGACCTCCTCTATACAAGGATCGCTCCTCTGGGCCTCTTGAAGCTCATTAGTACTGAAAATAGGTAGCTCTACTGTAGTGACTTGACAGTATGCTTTAGGAACAGCCGACTCATGGCTACAAAACATGGAAAAGAGGGACAACCTGCTCTCTGGGTGGACACAACCTGACAAATAGCTCAGACACCTGGGGCTAGAATCTCTTGCCACTCATCATCAGGGGACAGACTGTTGTGAGGGCGTCTCACGTTCCGTTGCCCAGGTCTATACTTCAAGCTAAAATTATAGGTGGACAAAGCAGACAGCCATCGATGACCAGTGGCATCCAGTTTTACAGACTGAGTTATATAAGTCAGTGGGCTGTTGTCAATCCTGACTTCAAGGGTGGTCCTATAAAGATAGTCATGAAGCCGATCCACGATGGCCCACTTCAAAGCTAGAAACTCCAACTTGTGAGCTGGATAATTCCTCTCTGAAGGGGATTGGCTGCGACTAATGAACGCCACAGGACGCAACCCTTCAACATGCTCTTGATACAGAACACCACATAGACCATCCAGGCTTGGGGGTCTGAAAAAGCAAGCACCGGAGCCTGAGTTAACATCCACTTAAGCTCCTGAAAAGCAGACTCACAGTGGTCATTCCATCTGGGACCAAAAGGCTCTGAGGGCCAAAAAGGTTTCATGTCATCAGGGTGAGGACTGTTTCCTGACATGCAGTTGGAAGCCTTGCAGCAACTCATTCAATGGTCAGTACAGCATGGAAAAACCCCTCACAAAATGACGGTAATAGCCACAAAAACCCAGAAATGAACGCAGCTCAGTTACCGACTAAGGTTGAGGCTAAAACACAACAGCCTGAATTTTAGATGGGTTAGTGGCTATGCCGTCCTGTGAAACTATGTGTCTAACATAGTTCACAGACATCCTGCCAAGTTCACACTTATCTAATGAGACCCTGAGACCTTCATCTCTCAATCTGTCCAAGACCTTAAGGAGCTGTTCCTCGTGTTCCTCTAAAGTACGCCCAAACATGATTAAGTCACCTAGGTACACTAGAACCTCTGGAAAATTCATGTCCCCAACCGTCCACTCCATGACTCTCTGAAATGTGGCAGGGGCACCATAGATTCCCTGAGGCATCCGCTCAAACTGATAGAACCCTAATGGACACATGAATGTGGTTTTTTTCTTTATCAAGCTCACTCATGGGAATCTGATAGTAGTCACTTCTCAAGTCCAGGACTGAGAACCACTTGCTACCAGAGAGGCAATGGAGGGCGTCCTCAGTTCTGGAAACAGTGTATTGTTCAGGGGTGGTCCACTGGTTAAGCGTTCGATAATTAACACATCCTGACTTTACTAGACTTCTTACGCACCACCACAATGGGTGAGGCATACAGAATCCTAGACTCTGAAATTATGCTGTTTTTCTGGAGTTCCAGCAAATGTTGCCGCACATCTTCCAGATCAGCAGGAGCTAAATGACGAGATCTCTCCCGAAAAGGGTGCGAGTCATTTAACCTGATATCATGTTGAGTGTTCTTCAAACAGCCCACATCCCACTCAGTACAAGAAAACACTTCCTTCCTTTGCAGAGCTTTGCATCCTCTGGCATAGGAGAAATGCCAAAGTCAAAAGAAGAAGAGGAAAGTGGGCTAATCTCAGAAGTGGTGGTCGGAACCTGTGGCACCATGTTTACTGGTAAGATGTGAGCAAGGGGACTACCTCTCTTTACAACAACCTCCCTAGAAGAAACATTCCTCACAGTGACCAAAATATGTCGGCTAGACAAAGCAGAGACAGGATGAACTTCGGGTCGAACCTCAAGCTCAGGGACAGACGTACCATCAGCACAAACAGGCTGATCTACAAGGACAAAAAGTCATTCAGTTCACCAGGAAACATAGGCCTGCCTGAAAGCTGCAACTCCTGCCCAGGCTTTAAAACACGTCATCCCGTGAAACGCAAGTCTGTTTATTAGACTGAAGAACCGCTTGCAACACAGGGTGGGTGGCCAGAATGTTCAGACACCCGTTTCCTGCCTGTTCCTGACAAGAATCAGCTTTCTCACCAAGTGAGTGTTTGTGCCAACCAAAATAGCTATCCCCTCCTTTGTCTGAGAAGACACACCAGAGCTAAAGCAGTGACTGCTTCAGTGAACTCGAGCCTAACAGGCAAATATCCATCATATGGGTATTTGTGAGAGCTCAAACGCCATATTTCTAGATTCACTGGCTGCAGTGGCAAATGCTTTAAATATGTATTATAAAAGCTGCAGTATAAAATTGTGACCTGAGAACCACTATCCAGCAAAGCATTAGCATAAATCCCCTCTAAACACTGTTGTCATAATGTGTCATTCGGATTTTGGAACTGAATGACACATTATGACAACAGTCATAAACATCAATAATGTGTCATTAATGTGCATGACATGTGTCATGTCTTTCTTATGACAGTTACATGTCACTCTTATGTAGACTGTTTCAAGTAAAGTGTTGCCTCAGATACTAATTTTTAATATCGATTAGTATCTGAGAATCGATTTTTTGACAACCCCAGTGTTTCATTATTTTCAACTCCAGCATCAGCTATATCTTCCGTTTCTGATCTTTTGCGGTACAGCAGTGAAAAAGGTCCCCCCTTAAACAGTTTCCAGCTGCGCCACTTTCCGAACGTTGTGTAAGCTATTTAAACCGGTACTGCGGTATAAGAGAAATTCACATCATAACAATAACCGGTATGAACTGGTATACTGCCCAACACTATGAACCACCGTCCAGGCCAGGTGAATCGGATCGTAGAAACGTAGAGTGACACAGCAGATGCTCCAGGGCTAACGGTCTAAGTGTGGGTCCGTCCATCCAGCAAGATGCTGCCAACCTCCAAATCCGCAGCCAGCTGGCTGTGTCCCGACGACACAGTATATCCGCTGAAATGTCGATTGCTTTCCGAGACAGCGGGAACGTTAGCGGTGGAGCTGGGCTAGCGGTGACCAGCCAACCAACCCGGTGAACGATTCAGTAAGTCTTCATGCGAGCTAACTTAGCTAAATTAGCTATCGGCAGTAAAAAATTACCACAGTTCCTCACACACTTTACACCCCTTCGACCGTCGCACTCCAGGGCTTAAAACTTCCATCCTTCCCCACCAAAACCAGCGCTGCCAACCACAACCGAAAATAAAAATCCCGTCACCTTACTCTCCTCCCCATCATTATTTCTCTTCAGGTGTAAGCACCCTCCACATGCTCGTGATTTCGCGGGCATTAGGCTTTTCCAATTATCATTGGTCAACAGTGACGTCAATTGAACCCCAAAGCATGCTGGTAAATGGAGTTAATACAGCATATGGAAAAAACACAGTACAGTAGAGCAAACAGGGCAGTACAATTGTACAGTGCACAGAAATATATAGAAATACTAATGCCCATATCCTATCTGTTGGCTTCCTCTATGTTTGAGGGAGATCATTTCATTCTCTCATAAATCTGTATGTCATTTTCAGTTCTACGTTTGTCCCAGGTGTAGAGTGCATTGTTGGTTTGTATTATGTAAAATAAGCAACCTGATCATCTTTTAGACTGCTGTGTGTGTTGCGTGTCCAGGAGACGGCACTAAATGAGATACAGGTGATGAACCAGTTGAGCCACCCCAATGTCATCCAGTTGTACGATGCTTACGAAGCCAGGAACGAAGTGGTGTTGATTTTGGAATAGTAAGTAGATCACTGTCATCATCTTCTTCACCTATGAGTGAGTACGAAGGCCAGGACCAAGAGTCATGAGTCTCCTGTAATGTCCCTTTTTGGCCTTGACTACAGCGTAGAGGGGGGGGAGCTCTTTGAGAGGATTGTGGATGAGAGCTCACCTCTGACTGAGCTTGACGCTATGATCTACGTGAAACAAATCTGTCAGGGCATTCAATACATGCACCAGATGTATGTCCTACACCTGGACCTTAAGGTGAGCTTTCATCATCACTTTACCTATCTTGTAGGACAGAATAATCAATGATGAATCACTATTACTGGTTTCTGTTTCTTTAAAGCCTGAGAACATTCTCTGTTTGAGTTGCACTGGACACCAGGTGAAGATCATTGACTTCGGACTGGCCAGGAGGTATGGTCTCAATTTCAAGGTTGTCATAAACCTCTTTGTATGGTTCACAGTGAGTGTATTTGTGGGAGGTTGGGGGGGGGGGTCTCTGTCATAGATGTACATTCTGGAAAAGGTCCCTGCATCAACACATATCTGTATATTGTAATGACCATATAAGACCAATTTGAATGTTCCTTTCACACCTAGAAGATACACTCCATCAGCGTAAAATTTTGAAACAACCATTTCAGCCATATGAAGTATTCCTTAAATTTTAAATCAAATTTATACCAAACAGCTAAACTGTGCAATGTTCCACATGGTATTTAGATGTTAACATTTGACTGTCTTCATTCCTTAATTTCTGCTCATGCTCTCTTCACTTTCCTCTGCTACACTTTCCTTTATCAGGTACAAGCCTAGAGAAAAGCTGCGTGTGTCGTTCGGAACGCCAGAGTTTCTGGCTCCAGAGATCGTTAACTTTGACTTTGTCTCTTTCCCCACTGACATGTGGACGGTTGGCGTGGTCACCTACATGCTGTGAGTCAATGTCACATCGGCTATACAACTTTACAGTTGGTTTTAATGAATTGAACATACAGCATTTCTGATCAGGGCTTAAAATCACGGTGAATTCTGACTGGCTTTTTGATCAAAATGCAGTTTCTGCAGTGGCGTAAATACCTTTTCAAAACGTTTTGCCACAGACACTGACAAGTTAAATTTCTTATGTTCTTCTGAGAAAGCACTTCTTTACACAGCTTCAGCCAAATAACTAAAATATATGATTTTTTTTGGTTTTTAATCCAATGTGCAGCAATTTTGGATGCCTGCTCAGCGGGTAGCACTGTTTCCAGGCACCTCCAGCACTGTGGGTTCGATTGTAGTCACAGCTCTATATGTGTGGACCAAGTGACTTTTGTAAGGGTTCTTCAATTTTCACAGAAAGGTGAAAAATTGATTTGCCACGAGGTCCTGTTCCCTTTCTTACTTTCCTGCAGACTGAGTGGCCTGTCCCCATTCTTGGGTGATGATGACAGCCAGACCCTCAACAATGTCCTGATGATAAATTGGTACTTTGATGAAGATGCTTTTGAGCATGTCTCAGCTGAAGCCAAAGATTTTGTTTCCAACCTGCTCATCCGAGAAAGGAGGTTTGTAAGATAACCAGGAATTATGTTAAGCATGTTAAGTTGCAAGGGTCAGAAGTAGAAAAACTTTGATCTTGGACTGGTACAAGGACTAAATGAGCATCCACCCATCTTCCATACTTACTTCAGTTCAGGGTCACTGTGACTGGGAACTGACTAGATTTAGCAAAAACAGATTTTATTAAAGCAGCTAGTTGCAAGTTACAAATTTGTGTTGCAGTGGGCGTCTAAGTGCAACACAGTGTCTGAAGCACCCTTGGCTGAACAACATTACCGAAAAAGCCAAGCACAACAATGTTGTCCTAAAATCGCAGGTCCAGCTTAAGAAGTACATCAGCAGGAGGCTCTGGAAGGTGGGCATTTTACTTACTCAGAGGAAATAAAATTCTTTTACTTTCACAATAAACCCTCTATTGAATTTGAACTGTTACTTCGCCCATCGCTGGTTATCAGACTTACACCGTGTGTGTTTCTTTTTGGCCTGGCAGAAGAACTACATAGCGATAGCGGCTGCTAACAGGTTCAAGAAGATCAGCAGCTCAGGTTCTCTTACCACTCTGGGGATCTGACAGCTTCAAAAGACATCATTTACACAGGAATGGTGCGATAGAAATCATTAAAAAGCTCTTTGGTTACGTTTAAATATTGTATCATGTTTCTTGTTATTAACATGTTTTTAACATTTATCTTTTCTCAGATTGTCTGGCAACTTCCTTCTGTTCAGTTGAGTTTTCGCGCCACTAGAGGGCACCACTGCAGTGCTCATTATTAGCCTTTATAGGTATTTAGAGTTTATATCATTTTATTGTTTATTATTTTGATGCAATATGTTAATTGGAGGGAAACTGTTGATAAGCACTTGTGCGGAAACTGTGTTGTTTAAATGTTGAGCTTGTCAGAATTTTGTGAAGTAAGAGACAAAGTATGTTTACATGAATTATAAGATTACTGATAGGACCACGGACAGTATTTAGAATCTAAAAGCATACACTTTCCTATTCAGTATCTTGTCATTGATTTTGCCATCAACACTGCATGTATTTCAGTGGAGACTATGAACTAAAATCTGTTTATGGCCTCCACCACTGGTTTTTTATTATAGATTTATTTATTTAATTTGGTGTTCTGTTAAAAGTAATAGATTTGGTTATGTGGGTTAACCATCTACTTAGGTACCTAAATCAAAGTGTGTTGCAGCACCATGAGCAAAGAACTAGATCTTTTTTTCCTGAAAAAATATCAGTAAGTGATCAAATGACCTTCAATGTTACATGTTTACCAGGAAAGCCAAGCCGAGGCAAGCCAAGTCACAACTGACTGTGGAACTCGTAACATTTTTCATGTGCCTTTCATTTCTCAGCATTTCTATGTATCTTGCTTTATATTTGTAATCTTTAATCTAAATTTCTTTACCTTAGTAGTGAGTCCGGACAACCTATTGACCACAAGTGTAGTTATATAGGTTTTTTGCTGTCTGTGTTAACACTGGGTAAATTTGGTCCATTGATTTGTTCGTGTTTTTAAAGCAACATTAATTTTTCCTAATATGTATGATCACGTACTGAGTTCCTCCACTTTTTTCTGTTTTTAATCCTGGGTTTTTCACAAATTCCAAGATGCGGCAGAGACCAGATGTCACCCTGGTCACTCCATCCAAACTTTTCCCTAAACCGAATCTTTGAAATCCCTGGTGCTGTGAGAAGGTGAAGAACAGTCCTGATAAGGGCACCGCGATCTTTGACTCACTGTGTCTGCTGGCTTTGGGCCAAGCAGAGCTCTGAATTGGCCGAAAACCAATAGTCACAATGAGTTACAATGACCAGTGATACTAACCATCCGGCGGTGGAGACGTGCCTTATAGAGTCTGAGTAAAACTATATTAATTGGTGTGCTAACAACAATGCTTTGAACTTATGTCAGCAACAGTGTAGGAGAGAGCTTGATATTGCGGAGGTCACAACTCAATAATTTATAATTCCAAATTAAATATTAGGGGGTGCATGTCCACCTGTTCCCATGATCCTGTACATGAGTATTACCAGTGTTTTTCTTTCCGACTTGTTGGTTAAATGAAAGCCCTGGAATTTCATTAAATTTGTTTCTCTTGCCCTGAACAACATATCTTAAAAAATGAATAAAATGGAATGTAAGTGGCATCCAGAACGGATCCAGGTTGTTTTTGTCCTGCAGTATTATTACAGTAAAATTCCGTTATAAGTTGCTGTATGCCCAGAACACAACTACAGGACACCATTTACTCATGCCACACCCCAGCAGACACACTTTTGGTATAGATTATTATATTGTACATGTAGAATCCAGCTTTACCTGACCAGATGCGTGACTATTAATAATCCCGACTACGTATCTGCGCTGGATATCACTGGCACGCCACGTGCCTTGTAGGCGAAGCCTGCATGTCCGTTATAGCCGAACAAAACTACAGCTAAAAGCGGCCCTGGGGACTGAATTGTTTGTCCGTTATAAGCGAAATTCCGTTAAATGCGAGTCCGCTATATCCGATGCTTTTTCTGCATGTTCTTAAAGGCGCACGGCCGGGACCAGCGGACCTCGTCCGTTATAGACGATATTCCGTTATAAGTGAGTCCACTTTAACGGGATTTTACTGTAGTACAAGTCAAATCAAGACAAGAGAAGTTGAGTGAGCTTTATAGATCATACAATGACATGATGAGATACACACACATATGGATAGGAAATGAATGATGGGATTTGTAAACACCGGGCAGAACAAGATAATGGGACCTAACACTTAAGACTACATATACATAGTATCTGAGTGTGTAATCGGTGGTAATAATTAATGTAGCAGCAAAGAACAGTAAAAATAAATACAATAGTGTAAGTGAATAAATAGTGAAATACAGTAACCAGTGGCAGTGGGGTGGGGGTGGGTATTTCTAGGCACAGGAATTGCTTCATTGCTTACTATTACAAACACCCTTATACTGGTGTTGAACAGTCACATGTTTGCCAATTAAGATTAATATTTCATGAAATACATTCATTTTAAATACTCTTGTAGATTGTATAAGTGGCTGACGTCCTCAGTGAGACTTGAACCTGCAAATATACACACTTTCTCTTTCAGTTCATTCACTGCAAGCTTAAACTTTTTGCTAATGTTTGTTTTGGTCCACAGAATGATCATGTTTCGTGTATCGTTGACTGCAGTAGGCCTGCAGTGACAGATCTTTTGAAGAAACTAATGTTGCCTTTTGTTAGTATTCATTGTGATCAGGGGCTAAATGTCTTCATAATTTGTGGGTGATTGATGCACCTGTTTTCCAGTTGACTGATGACATCTTATTCAGTGTGCAGTAGCAAGACTATAAACCAGGGGTCTCAAACTCCAGTCCTGGGGGGCCGGAGCCCTGTGTAGCTTAGTTCTTTCCCTGTTCCATCACAAGTGATTCAGCTCAAGAGCTATGTGGTAATTAGCACATGGAGTTGAATCAGGTGTGTTAAATGAGGGGAAAACCAAAAATGTGCAGGGCTCCGGCCCCCCAGGACTGGAGTTTGAAACCACTGCTATAAACCATTTGTGTTGCATCGTCTTTGTCGAGTGTCAGTTAAGCAAGACCACATCATTCTTAAAGATGGTGAGAAGTCTGCAGACGAGTTTCACATTTTTGCTTGGGAGACAGTAATTTAGGTGTTTCCCTTTATTCCTTTATTAGTTTCTTATCCTTTTTTGGATGGGTGGTTGGTTGCTATTCAGGCATTTTTCTCTGAAATGCTCTCTATCCATTACAATATTTTGAAACATTTAATGTTGAGTCAATCATATTAAGTCAAACTGAAAATATGATTTTGTTTTTTCCTTGTTTATGGCGTAACTATGCTCATACATAGATCCCTCCATTACAAATTCTTTTATCAAATGCCTTGGAAGCTGGTGGGGTCAAGTTTTTCACTTCTCCTCTGCTCTCTTTCTCTCTCTCCTTCCAGGACCACTCTTCATAAATTGTTTATTCCAACTATGGTATGACCATAACAAGACAAAAGCATCTAATGAATGTTTTTTCCTGTCTTTTTCCTTGAATCTAATCATAACACCTGTGGGATAGCCTGTGTTTCCGCTGTTCAGTGTGGGCCGACTTGTTAGGCCTGATCCCGTCTATAAATACCCCTCTGACTGCACCCCAAGAGCATCCAATTGGCTTCTGATGGGTAGAAGATCTGGGTCACGCCTTGACGTTGGCAGGGCTGTCCCCCTCCGTTCTCCTTATTTAGTTTGAAATGTCTTGGTTTAGCTTCCAGGGCTCATCTGCTTTTCTTGGGAATGTCTATGAATAGAGCATGCAGGAGATATGGCTCTCTGTCGGGAGGGAAGCAGACCAGAGGAGGGGCTGTGGGCACCATCTGGAGCTGTCACTCAAGCTGAATGGGGTTAGGAGCCAGGATGCCAGAGGGAGCTTTCCAGGGCTCTGGGGAGAGCACACAAACTTAATGGCTGGTACAGAGAGTATGGAAGTATTCATACTAGAATATAGAGAAGTACAGCACCTAAGAAATTATAGAATGCAAAGTTATACCCATGAAAAGATAGAAATGACACCAGGCAGGAGACTGACCCTTCAAACACAACAATGAAACATGCAAAACAGAAGCACTTTTATCAGCTTATGGCATAATAGATGGGATAGCCTGACACATGCATTCAGATACAGGTAGAGTTCAGCAAATACAAGTGGCTGATGGGTGGAGATGTGTAGATTAACTGGCAGTTCGCCGACCAGATGTAACTGAAGGCGCTCAGAAACTGATGGAAATGCTGGGGATGCATATGCCCTTTGGTCTTACATTCATTTCATAGGGGTGACATTGCAAATTCTGTGAATATATGACCAATTTCCCTGTGCGTAATGCACTGTTGATAATCATAAACATTTATGTCATATGCAGATATAGGTGCTGCTGGGATCTTCCCCTCTGTATGTGGTGTTGGAACACACCATCAACATGATTTGTAGGAGTAATGGTGCACAAATAAAGGATTATACATATTGCAAACTGTTTCATTGAGATTTGGCCACACTAGCTTACAAATATATACACATCACTGTGGAAGAGAAGATCAATTGTGTGTTTTACCTTCAAAAATAAAAAAAAAACAATGCAACCCCAACAGTTTTTCCCTCTCCAGGTAACAAAATGAAGAAGTGTCAGTCAGGTTTGTATGGAAATCTTGCACTCAAAATTAATTTAATTTTATTTTTTTATGAAAAAGGCCCCATCCAAAAGAACATGAGTGTTCAATTGTACCAGGAGCCTTTGCTAAGAGCAACATTAGCATTAAAAATAATGATTGAAAAGGAAGATATTTTACATTAGTGTTTAAATCTGTAATAGTTTGAAGGAAAATATAATACAATCATTAAGACTGTGCAATGCAGATTTGTGCTGATGTCAGAAAAGCAATACATACAGGCTTGTCAAGTGACCAGGCTGCTGTCAAGGGCTGGCTGAGCTCATGCCTGAAATGCCATTAAAATCCTTCTTTATTGTGACACAAACACAGAAGCAGAAAGCAATAATGGCCACTCCCTAAGTGAACTGAACGCATGGCACATTGGTGCCCAATCTCCATCAAGCTTAGTTCAAGATCAGTCAATCACCAGGGCTGACCTATTGTTTAAGGAGTGAAATTATGATTTAGCTGGTAATTTGGAAGGCAATTGCATGCTTAAAACAAAGATTGTGGACACTTGAAGGATTCTGCTTGACCTCCTGTACTGCTACACTTTGAAATCCAGTTTGACAAACCTTGAGGTATTGGATTGTCTCTAAGTTACAGAATTTCTGTGATATATTCTAGGCAGTTCAGGTCCTTCCCAAAGTGAGCAACAGGCTATTTGTTAAAACCAAGACACCACAACTGGTTTCTCTGGGTATTGTTCTTTGTACTAGCTAGTCTTTATTCAGACCTGCATTGTCAGACGTTTGTTTTAGTATGTATGAAGGGCTACAGAAAATGTTTTGCAAACGAAACCGAAGTATACGAAATTACTATGCATAACCTGATCAGTGGGAAATGAGATGTTTGTGGGGGGGGAAGATGCTTATTGCTGATTCCTACAAACACTTTTTTTGGGCCCAGGAACCATGATTTGTAAATAATGAGGCATAGAGTCACAGCCAATGGCTTCTTATTTGCTGAGTTGAAATGTTTTTCACTTATGAAATTATCACTATATGCTTTACTCCTGTTTTGTGTCTCTCGCAGTTAAATGACATGATTTCCCAAAACTGTCATCACTTCTGTCATTATCCAGTTGTTTCTGGCCATGCTCAGGAAACAAAAGTGTAGCCTGCAACAGGGGGACCAGCAGGCAAATCCAGCCGGCTCAGGATCGTTTGTATGAGTACTTTATCCGCTGAAGTGCTCCTCCATTTTCTGCAACGCTGTTATTTACCAAAACAAAGAGGCAAAGCGTACAATTCCACACCATTGCTAACATGCAAAAGTCATGTGTAGCTCCACTCCTTTTAGTCTGCCGCACTGGCTCACTGTATACCAGAGTGTTCACTGTCTCTGCCTGCACTGCATCCCCTCTCACCCTCTGCTGTGCCTCATGTGCCTCTGCTGGTCCTCCAGCTGCTCTGGTCATCTGAGGCCAGTGGGTAAGCTGTTTAAATTGAGCTTTTCAAAAAGACGAACTTTTTTCCCGCTCCCACGGAGTCTCCCTTTTTCCTCTTCTGTGCGTTGGTTTTTCATTTTTCATCTTGATCGCATTTACTTTGATTTGCTCCTTATAAAAAAATGGAACGTTCCGGAGTTCAATTGACTTTATTGATTTGTATGTCTCTGTCTCCCAGTGATGCAGCATCCTGAAGTCCACACAGGCATAAACACATTTCATTCCTTCTCAGGTCTGGTTCACTTCCCTCGAAAACTGGGGGCTCTGAAGCAGTCTATGCATCTGCTGTCTCCTTTTCAGCTCAACCTATTCCAAAATAACATATGAATACTTTTTTTTTAAATAAATGTCATTGAGCCTACCCGTTGCGTCCTTTAGCTAAATATGGGGAACTGGTGGGTGGACAAGAACGACCCCCGGACTTGGGATGGGAGTGAGAGGAGGAGAGAGGTACATTGTGATTGGCTGAGAAAAAGTTGTGCCTGGGCACTTCATGACCAATCCTAGGAGTCTTCTATGAATGTGCAGTACATATTTAAGTGGGGGTTGTGCACAGGCATCAGGTGGATCAGGCCAGGAAGTACGCAGGGTGCCTCTAGGTGTCTTTCCCTGTGATCGCTACAGCCACTCTCTCTGATCTAAAGACCTCTATTACCAGCCAACATGGTAAGGAACTTTGCGGAGGACCCAAACCGAATAAAAGACACGGAAACTGTCCGAAAGCTATACAGCCTGTTTGATTTTCGGTTTTGTGACTTGTGTAGAAGTTTTGGGGAAAGTGATTTCCTGTGGAAGATGCTTTAGACGCTCCGTTGGGTCGGGGCATTAATGTGGATTTGCGGAAAGTCATGGAGACATCGACTAAACGAACACATGGCAACCACGTAGTCATGTCTATCTGTCTGTACATCCACGATCATGTTCGTCAGTGCATCTATCTGTGAGTCTGTGCAGTTAGTCACCATGTATTTGTGTGCATGCTCCTCTGTGTCCACCAGTCTCAATAACACCCTTTCCTCAGGTCCTCGCTATAACCCCTCCAGCCACAGAATATATGCGTCTTTCTCTTCCTTGTTAACGTTTCTTCATCCTCCTGCTGAAAGCGCATTATTTGAGTTGTACATTCACTCCCTTTCTGCAGTAACTCGAAGCACCAGGCAGCTTTTAACTTTAGTGTGACGGACTGAGGAGTGTATCTGAGAAGTTTTATTTCACTGTTTCAGTAGGTGTTATGTGATCAGCAAAAAGCACATCCATTAAAGACATTTTAGAGTCATTGTGTTAGGTAGTGTTTTTGTATTCAAGTGCTAGGGCATGTAATGGAAGTGTTCTGGATGGTTTTCCTTTTGTCTACTGGTTTGTTGAGAGGTTCCAAGTTGTTTTTTTTTGCACAAAGAAATTGGTTGGTATTGTAAGAAGTACTGCTTGGTCTGGCTAATGATAAGGATAACAAAAGCGGGAATGGAGTAATAGTGCAATACTCAATAATGCAGTGCTCAGTAATGCAATGCTCAGTAATGCAATACTCAAATAGGCAGTAGCCAATTAGCTGAGAATGACTTTGATTATCTATGTGGGTTTGGGGGTGTAATACCATGAGGGAGTGATTGTAAATTATATGTGGGACTGTGAGTGGCTTGGACAGGAAATGGTGTGTATGTGAGAGTCTGCTACAGTCCAGTGAACCTGTGCAAACATCTCTGTGGGTGCCTGCGAATATGCATCTCCACCAAATGTTTAATTACATGTTGCTGTAACTGGTGCGATTATCTATGAAGAAAATGAAGTGCCAGAAATGCTGTACTGCTGAAGCGTCACGCTGTGCATTTCTGTTTTTATCCAAGGGTGTGCAGGAGGATGGGGAATGCGAGAGTGCATGCATGGATGATTGATTAGAAAACTGGTGTATGAGCGAGTGCAGGCAGCAGAACTGATCACAAGACCAGGTATTAGTGTGTAGAGCTGGATACCGTTACAAATTGGAGCTGACGAGGGGGAGATTGCAGAGGGACTGACACACTGTGCCAGAATGTCAGCATCGACTCCTTGCTTCTCTTGGTGTCAGCAGAGCGTATGAGGTTTCGCTTGTTTAATTTAGCAAATCCTATCTGACGATGCTGCTCCTTTGGCCCCATCGTTTTGGCAGTGTTTGGCCCCTGCAGTTTTTTTTTTTTCTGAAGCCAGAGCCACCAGGTGCCATGCAATGGATTTTGAATTGGGATCTTTGGATTATGGGATGATAAATATGTTTCCTAAAATGTGTATCAGTTACGCCTCCAAACCCACAGAGTGCATGAACAAATACACAACTTTATCTGGTTTTTAGCTTCTGTTTATTAGTGGTCTGGCTTATTTTATTGTAGATACTGTGTATTACTTTGGTGTGGGTTCAGTTTGCCCCAAAACCCAAAATCATCTCTGTTCCATCGGGAATGGAGCCTCATACTTTGGTGCCTTTACCAGCAGAAGCAGTGTTTGAAATACCTTGTGGTACAGCTGTATTGTAGCGGTTATGTTTTTGGTAACAGTGAATCATGTGACCCTATTCCCTGGCACAAATGTTATGGAAGGCGATGGATCAGAGCATACAGAAGGCATCAGTCAGCAGGTGGATTAATTATCCCTCACTGACCTAGCAACCAGCTGTCGTCGCTGCACTTTTGCTGAAGGATCGCCACATTAATAATTCATTTCTGACGTTCCCAATTTTGACAAATTCCAAAAAAAACTGGACTTAAAACAGGCAACAAAGGGCTTAACAGTGATTTTTAAAAACTGTCATGACTGCCTTTTGGTGGAGGAGATGATTTGATGTTTTCTCAATGGGGACTTGCATGAGAGGGTATGTGAAATAACATGGTGGCTCAGATGCAGCTTATTCACCACCTAAGTTCTCCCTTTAGAATCTCCCAAACCTTCCTAGAATATTACACCTCAGTATGACGCCATTAGAAATACCCTCTTTTCTCCTTTAACCTGTTGTATTTTTCTCATGTCCTTCTTTCTCTTTCTTCTACAAGCCAACTGACGCCCAAGAAGACGCCCGCTCTTTCCTGAGCGAGGAGATGATTAGAGGTGATACAGGATGGGAGGCACTATGGCCGTTCTCTGAAGTGTGGTTTACAATAGTAGTGTTTCCTGAGAATTGTTAATTCCCCTTTACCCGCAGAAGGGAAAAGAAATTGCATCCATTTATAGTTTATAAATGATTAGTCCTGGTTTAACAGTAAATAAAGCTTAAAGAGAAGGATTGAAAAAAATATGATTTATTTTCTCAGTATCTATTGAAATCAAGCTAAGAAATTATATAGAAATATTGAGACTGTTTGACTCATTGTGGTGCTGCACCATTCCAGAATTCAAGGCTGCCTTTGATATGTTTGATACCGACGGTGGCGGTGACATCAGCACCAAGGAGTTGGGCACTGTCATGAGGATGCTGGGTCAGAACCCCACCAGAGAGGAGTTGGATGCCATCATAGAGGAGGTCGATGAAGACGGTGCGTTTGCTGAACAAAGGTCACAGATCACACGTGTTGTCTTGCAGTAGTCCAGAAATAAACGAGTCTCAGCTTTCACTGGTGTCCATGTCAAATGAATGTTATGTGCTTAAGTGCTGTTTAGGACCAAAAGTGAGGGAGGCAAATTGTCAATAATTCCGCATTGGTCTGTGCTTCCATGAGTCTTTGCTTTGCTCTCTGTAAGTCTGCCTTTGCTCTACACAAAGGCAGCGGCACCATTGACTTTGAGGAGTTCTTGGTCATGATGGTGCAGCAGCTAAAGGAGGACCAAGCTGGCAAGAGCGAGGAGGAGTTGTCAGAGTTCTTTCGTGTTTTTGACAAGTATGTTTCTTCTCCTTCTACTGTTGAATGTTGAATGTGCCCCCCCCCCCCCCACCTCCAGAAACATCTCTATCCTTCAGGGTTTACTAATAAAATCTCACCCACACTACCCTTGTGTCCAGTTGAAAATAGGGCGCAGCAACAGTACAAACGGTCCTCAGGACCCTGTTGGAATAGTTTTATTTATTTATTTTTATTATTAGTGAATGTAATATAGATCTTTTTTTATTACAAAGTCTAAGCTGAACTGTAAAACTTCACTACCCTTCCCTGCCCTTACAGGGTCCATTGGAAGGGATTAAACAACAAGGTTTAAAGCACCTGACATCTACGATACAAACACAAACACTCGCGGATTTTAAACTCACACCGAAGCACTTTCATTCACACTGCTTGGGAACACACACTCATTTATAAATGATAGTAAAGTACAGAAAATCATACAGCCTCTCTGTTCTGATCTCCCAGGAACGCAGACGGCTTCATTGACAGGGAGGAGTTCGGCGAGATCCTGCGCACTGCTGGGGAACCCATTTCAGAGGAGGAGATTGATGAACTCATGGCTGATGGTGACAAAAACAATGATGGCAAGATCGACTTTGATGGTGTGTCACTTGGATTCACTCACAGACAACACCGTCGTGTTAACACACTGCAACTTTCTCAAAGTCATAGAATAAATCACAAAAGTCATACACGTACATCATGAAATGTTCCATCCTCATCATCATCATCGAGTCCAGTACTGTGTAACCTAGGTGAAGCGTTAAGGGATTTGATATACCTGTATTGATGGTATTTAATTACAGCCTGGGACATGTTGCTTTTGTTATTGTATTGAGGCTATCTGTCTCCATTGATAAAGCAGAGGTCAACCATTGCTTTTTGCCTTTTATTTGCAGAATGGCTGAAAATGATGGAGAACATTCAGTAGAAAAAAAGAAAACATTCCTGAACAAACCCCTCAGCTTGGCAAGGAGTGTTTCTTTGAACTGACAACAGCTCCTGTGTAAAGGGCTACTGTACCCAGGGACTGGTAAAACAAAAAAAAAAACAGAGGAGACCTGAGGTCTAAGAATCTGTAAGAAAAAGGCTTGATCAGCCCTCCTTAGTTAAGGCCATACCTCATGCTGGCATTCTGGAACTTTCTGGGTATTAATATCCTGGCCAACTTCTGCAAGGAACGCAAATCCCCCTCCCTCTCTTAGCCTCCAGTTGTTTTCTTCCCACCTGCTACTGTGTCTAATGCGCTGCAGCATTTACATTGTGGTTATAAAATAAACCCGTTTCCATCTTTGAGTCACAAACCTTGGGCTCCTGGTCATGTTGTGATTGTAAAGGTGTTGGGGGGGGTGGGGCTTGGGGCGGTACATGGTACACATCTACTGGTGTTAGTAAAGTTCTCACTGCTTTTTTTGTGAGTGGGGTTGGGTTAGGGTGTTTCTCTATGTGTTTATTTTCAGAGAAGGCTTCCTTCTGGCTCTTCTCAGTCGCTGCAACAAACAAACTCCAGTCAGGAGAGAGATCAAAACAGACAGAGAAAATGCAGCCTGCACTATCTGGCTTTCTGCAGTGCCGGCGACCAGCCTTTCCTTGCGAGCAGTTGCTGCCTAACCAGCTACTCCTGCTCAGCCAGCAGGGTGAGGAGATTCCTGGCTGGTGTTGGCTCCGTAGCAGTAGCGCGGATGACTTTTCCTGGCTGCATTCCCTCCCTTTTCAGGTGTCCATCCAGTCCTCCCCCTGCTCCAACCCAAATCCAGGAGAGAACACCCCCTTCCATAGCCTTGGTCACATGCTGCTCCTTGCTTACTGGTTATGTCCACTGGCCGCAGCTCCAAAACATCATTCAACTCTTCGACATTAGCACCAGCCGAAGTACTGGTCTGCGGAGTGATCAATTCGACTGCCTGCCTTTCGACACGTCTTGGGTTCCTAGAGGGACACACCCTTATATCCTTTTTCCTCCCAGGGGGAGTCTTCCGCCTCCTTGCCATTCAGTTCCTTGTTGTAGGTGCCATACAAGGCGAGTCAGGGATCTGTCACCATACCCCACAGTAAAGCTTTCATGTTCTCCATACCCCAAGAGCAACAGCTATTCCTGGCATGACAGATCTGTGGAACAAGCACTTTCTTAAAGTTTAAGGTTACCCCTTACCTTATGGATATTAAAGAGTCTATCTTGGATGTATCAAGTCAAATATGCTTAAAAAAAAGCATGCAGGCTTTATTTCCAAATGTCTCTTCTCCATTGTCTAACTCCTTTGAATTTATACAAAAGCCTGTGGAAATGGTGTACTCTGTCGAGCACCCTGTCTACACTGTGCCTGGGAAGGCAGATTTCACAAGTATAAATACGCAGACAACCTGATCAGGCCAAGTACAACAGGAAACGTCCTGAAACCTTTTTTTGACATCAAAATATGTGACTAAACAAAGCAAACCATGCACACAATAGAATATTTTGAGAAATTAACAACTGTTCAGTTGAAAGCGCTATTCCCCTCCCCTGAGACCAAGTGACTATTCCTAAGTAGGAGCTTTTTGTTAATGCAGATTTCTGTTCCACTGTTTCTCTGGGCCAAACTTTATCACAGAGTTTCCTCCACATGAAAAAGACGTCTAGAGACGTAAAAAGCCACCTTTCATTCCAAACTTCGATTGGCTTGCAGTCGCCCACGAACCCTAAAAGCTGAGGATACTAATTCTGGAGACCCTTTAGTGATAGGGGGCGTGTCTTCGCCGGCCGATTTTAAGCGTGTCTGAACTCCCAAGTTGACGTCTAGTCCTTCTGTTCAGGTGCACGCAGACTGACCGTACCTCTGGGCTTTTTTCCTTGGAATTTGGGGGGGAAACTAATCCACAACTATGGTAAGCCAATTCATTCGCTCGCAACGCAATTTTCTTTGACTAATATGTTGGGAGCATCTCGTGAAAAATACAATATCAGTCGGAAAACTGCACTCAGTACAGCTGAAGTCTTGATGTATAAATGAACACGATTTAGAACACTATACGGCCTCAAACTTTCTTTTACACAAGCAAGTAGCCCATCACACTGAGTGTCGTGTCTAATACATAGTCATTGTGTGAAGCAGTGTATTAAATTACTATCGAAAGAGGATTTCAGCGTGAAGTCGCTTCAAAGCAGTTGAGATACAATTTTTACAATTTACCATAATTGAGTTCATATTGTTGCTTTATTTATAGTATTTAAATTAATTATTTAAATTGATATAGATTTACATTAATTATTTAGAATTACATATTTAAAATATACTTTAACTATATTATGCAACGTTGGATACCCGAAAAATATACATTAATTGCTTACTTTAGCCTAAATATCTAATTTGCAAATGTCCTAGTCGTTTCCTTAGTTTTAATATTTAGTTAATATAAATATTGAAACAGGACCAAATAGGATGGGTGCGACACAGATGCAAGGCATAGTTAGTATTACCCCCGACCTTTAAAGGTGTCGTCAGCTGGGTCCCGAGCCGTCAGGATTATATGCTTATCTGGCAGATTCCTAGGAATTGCATTTCAAGATGTTACTTTCGAGACGCATTAACGGGGATAATGTGCTGTGAGCTGTTCGTGTCCAATAATGTCCTTCAGATAGTGTCATGTGAAATCACGATAAACTGAGCACGTTAAAAACACAATTTAAAAAACTATGTTTCTGCCAACTTCTTGTGCTGCACTAACAGGGCATGAAGTGCAATGAAACACTGCGTTTCATTTGAGTTTCTATACTTTTTATGACGCAATTGATCACCATGATATTTGCTGTTTTCTAGAGCGAAGCGCAGCAGGAGGCGCGCTCATACTTGAGCGAGGAAATGATTGCCGGTGAGTTAGAACAACGCGGAGTTTACTGTACCTAACTAACGACGTGGCCAAAATTTAGTTAAATAAAATGGCTACCTTTGGGTGGAAAACGACAAAGTTGAATAAGCGCAAGAATTTTCCACCTGTTTATTCCTTACACACATACTGTTGCGTACTTTCATCCAGAATTCAAGGCTGCCTTTGATATGTTTGATACCGACGGTGGCGGTGATATCAGCACCAAGGAGTTGGGCACTGTCATGAGGATGCTGGGTCAGAACCCCACCAGAGAGGAGTTGGATGAAATCATCGAGGAGGTCGATGAGGACGGTAATCTTAAATTTGCTGGCTATGTACTATAATCTCTTCACGGATGCAGTTTCTTGAACTCTAGTCAACCTGATAAATCTCATAAGGAGAATATGAAACGTCATACCTCAAAAGTTCATGGCCGAGTTAAGGTGAAATAACGTCGGATTTTAAAAACGCATTTGCATACTGAACATTCAGTGTTGTGATTTTATTAATTGCATACCTTACAATTTATCCCAGGCAGCGGTACCATTGACTTTGAGGAATTCTTAGTCATGATGGTAAGACAGCTAAAGGAGGACCAAGCTGGCAAGAGCGAAGAAGAGTTGGCGGAATGCTTCCGCGTGCTCGACAAGTACGTTTCACTAGGACTGGCGATCTTACTACATATACCCTTCTAATGGTCTCCTGTACCAACATTACCTTAAAATTAACAATGAAATTAACAACTGCCAAATATCACTGACCACATGAGCGCCCCCGCTGAGAGCCCCTGTGAATGCGCACGCATGCGCTTTGTTGTAGGAACGGAGACGGATACATCGACAGGGAAGAGTTTGCTTTGATCATCCGCAGCAGCGGTGAGAGCGTTACGGAAGACGAGATCGATGACCTGCTGAAGGAAGGCGACAAGAACGCTGATGGCATGCTGGACTTCGACGGTACGTCCACTGTGCCAGGAAAGATTTCTCACTCTCTGGACAGATTTTATTTATTCAGCAGAAGTCTTTAACCAAGGCGGAATATACTTTCAAATTTTTATTATTAAATAGATGGGTATTTTTTTAACGTCAATCCATAACAATTTTTCCTTTCTTGAAGCCTAAATGTGCATTTAAGCGTTTATGGCCAGTTTGACTGTTCTAATTTAAGGTGCCTTATCAGATTGATTTATTGTGCGTTTGTATTTTGCAGAATTCCTCAAGATGATGGAAAACGTGCAGTAAAACAGGGACTCAAGGACATTCCTCCACCACATGACCCTTGCCTCCTCCTGTCTACTCAGCTCTTCCATGCTCTCTTCTCTACAGTCACACTCCACCATTCTGTCTGTCCCCCCAAAATAGGAATCAGCCATGGGGAGGGGGTGTCCTTCGATATCCCATAATCCCCCCCCCCCCCTCTCTCTCTTCACGATCATTAAGATGCAGCTGTGGCTGAAATCTGAATGTGGCCTAAAGGCTGAGGTGACGGATTCCGTTAATTTTTTTCCTGGCAACAGATGGTGTCCTGCATACCCTGTTCATCACACCGCATCCAGCCTGTGCTGCTTAGGTTTGGCCACTCGGCACTTTGACAACGACGAGTCTTAGACAGCACCCAGCTCCTGTCAAAGAGGACTGTGAACCAAGGCTTGCAGGAAAACAATAAAATAATGATTTTGAAAACCGCATTGTGTTTGGTTTGACCTCTGAATTGAGCAATATAAATAAAATTCTATTTTGCTTTTATAAAAGTTTCTTTTATCCAATACCTTTGCTTTTTTCTTGCAGTGCCGTGTAAATTGTGGTGGATTTTTACATATTTCCTTGAAACTTGGTCTTCGTAGTCATTCTCAGGAATAAAAACAGTCTATATATTGTCATTTCTACTGCGTGTGGTATAAAGGTAAAATCTATAGCTCTAGGAAAGCTAAGAACATCATCATTTGGAGTCACTTTGAAATGCGTTGTGTATGTGTCTGACACACATTAAACTGATTTTCTGTTTTCTTGCAAAAAATCCTCTCACATTGATTTCACAACTGTTATTTGGCAAGGATGTGTTGAGGCCTGGCTCATCTTGGTCATTGAAATTCAATAACCGAGTTAAACAGTATAATCACTCTTATCTCGACTTTCACTCAGCATATGCTCTAGTTATTTACTATTATTAGTGCCATGCCATTGTTTCTAACTGTATCATTATTCTTCAAATTGACAATTTACCAGAATTTATTCTCAGTAATCATTCTAAGGATACAATAGTAGTCTCCCTTTTGAGATTCGTATCTGCATTATTTGAGCACCAAACATTGCATTTTCACATAATAACCAGTTTAACCACTGAGAAAAATAATTACCTGACAAAAAGGAAAAAAAACGATGCTCCACAGACAGCTGCTTTATTCTCTAGGAAGTCAACCACTGAGCTTCCGCTCCGATATCCATCTCTAATATACTGGCGAAAAACCTGATAATGTGTTAACATGCGGATGTATACGAATAAGAAGCCGTCCTACGAGTGCTGCCATCAGATGGTCATTTAGAAGATCATCTTGTCAGGCACATCTTACGTCACGCGTTCGCCGCTCTATTCAAGTGGCACAGCCCTGCCATCTTGTGACAACATTGTGTAACTGTACCCATGTGGCAGAGTACTGCCATTTGAATATCCTCGCTCGTTACCTTTGGGCAGGGCTGCGGAGAGACTTTTTGATGGGCAGGTGATCGATCGTCTTTGCCTTTCAGTTACCGTTTATAATGCAATATAAATCATACATTTTTATTTAATTTTTTTACAGAGTATCTTTCTCTTGCAAATGAAATTATACTGCTATTCTATTAAATGGGGTGAGTTTAATGAGTATCTGCATGTAACGACTAATGGACCTTGAAGATCTCATTTATTACTCAGCTTAATTTGACATTTTAGTCTTTATATTTCTAATCTGCCCTTGCTCATCAGGTTTCCTATTAGTAACTTGTTAATTAAAAGAAGTCACCTTCTATGAGCACAGTTGGCATTTATTACAGAGAGTTTAGCATTGCCCATTCGTTTGCGAAGTTTGCTGGGGAATGTCTGCTTTTGAGCATTTTACCCCTTTCTTCTGCTTTAAGTGGTGGCCAGCTCCCTCACAGATGGCCTAACAAATTGGCTATTTGTATATCCAGAGATGGACATCTGTGGAGTAGGAGAGTAGCCTAAAAGATCAAATCAATAACTCTCCCTGATCACTGGAATGGCCAATTAATCTCATAATAAATCAACCCCCTCTAAGTAAAATAACCACACCAACTCTGGAGGGGTGTAGACTGGCACACATTGCCTTCAGTGTGTTCACTTTCTCTCTTCTATTCTATGGGCTGCAGGTTTAGTTTTCTGTAACACACCGTCTTCTAAGTGCCCATTTGACAGTAGATGGGAGGAATCCATATTAATAATATTTTGATCCTGTTCACAAAAAAGTGTATGCAGTTGAAAGCATAGCTAATTATGGTAGGTTTACCCAAACATTTGACAGTCTGAAACATTGCTCTAACTTTCATCACTTCCTGTTTGAAATAAGAAGCCTTCCCATATAACTACTTACCCCCCTAACCTTAACACGGTCTCGACGATCTACAAATGCAAATCGTCTCCTACTTCCCAGGACCAAACTTAGCACCATGGCTGATCGGGCCTTCTGTTCTGCCGCCCCGCGACTATGGAACACCCTCCCAGACCATTTGAGGGCCCCACAGACTATTGAAAATTTTAAAAAAGGACTTAAGACATTTCTTTTTAATAGAACTTATGGATTTTAATTAATTTTGTAGGTTTCTTAATTATTGATTGACTTGCTTGTTTTAATTGTTGTTTTAATATGTGTTTTTTTCCCCCACTTTTTTAGGATGACTCATTTTGTGGCACTTTGAGATTTATTTTAAATGTAAAGTGCGTTATAAATTAAATCTATTATTATTATTATATACCTAGCATTCTGACAACTACTTGCACTCAGTGTTGGGTCCAGAACAAAATCACTAGAGGTGCACCTGAAATTAGTGAGGGGGCACAATCCCTGCAACCATGTCACAGTCATAGACCTGCCATTCTGATTAGGTGTTGTTGTTAGGTCCCTTTCTGTGAGCTTGTGAGACCTGCCACTTCACAACTGAACTTGCTCCCAGAAGTTTTGACCTTCACAATCACTTCACTTGCGCTTGACCAGGACAGCTGTAGCAGAGAAGGAACGTGATATCCTGACATGTTGAAATGATGGCGTCCTGTGATAGTGCCAAGGGAAACGTCACTAAATACTTCTGTATAGCTGCCAGTTCTGCTGCTAATATTTGTTGGAGGAGATCGCATGCCTCTGTGCTTAATTATGTACCTGTGTCAATAATGGGTTCGGTTTAATTAATTGATTCTGTTCATTAACAGGGGGGCCGACAAGCTTTTGCCTTATGACTAAGTTCTGTTCCAACGCACAGGTGGTACCTCAAAATGGACGGATGTCGGAATAGGATAATTGCAGTTTTAGGTGTGAAAATAAGACTGGGAGAGACTTGTGAGCCTGGGAAGGTCATGCTGCCATGCAGTACAGTACATTCCTGTGACTATCATACGGCGTGCAGCACGTACTAAGTAGCATAGCACTCTGGCACGTACAACCATCCAAAATTTATTCTCACATATATTGACTTTTGTTGTAAAAACAACTTTGATCGCATGTGCAAGTGGCTGTTAATCACATAGGTTCTAAGTCTGTAGTGTATTTACAGCACGTGATAGTTTGAGAATTAATTTCCCTTATTGGACTAATGTAGCCTCTTTGCTGGTTAGCGTTTTAAAGAGAGTTGCAGCCTGTTCTAGCTGTTTTTGGTGGATGGGATGAACCTGCCAAATGCCGTACCTAGGGCAAACATCCATTTAATGAGGGGCAAATGTATGAGAAGTGGCACGACTGGATCTGTATATTCAAAATTCTTCTGTTTTTTGCAGTCTGTAAATTACATGGTAGAAAACTGCTGCCTTTGGGAAACCTAGCCCAATAGGTTTTTGAGTGTCAGCTGAAGAAATCTGCTGCTCATATTTGCTATAAATTGCAAAATAAAAGCAGTTACCCTCAAATATTGTAATGAGCCACACCTGTATTAGACACATAGAACAGTACACAGTGAATGCCATTTTTAACTGATTTTTTCCATCCTACTTTTTTCAATGACACAGTATGAATGAGCTCAAATAAAACAAATGTAAAATCAGTTACAGTGTGTCTGTGGAAAATCCTTTCCCCTTTGATTTGGCTTCCAAGGATTTGATGTTACTTTTGTACCATTTCAAACCACCCATCTGAATACAAATTACTCAAGCAAAACACAAGATTTGAATAGTTTGTTTTATTAGGTATTGAATTATTTTGAACATTAATGCAGGTCTAAGACATCCAATGCCATTTTCCTATTTACAGTTTATTAAACTAAAAAGGAAAACTTTAAAAAAATATTCTATTTTAATGTTTCATCAAGCTAAAACAAACACAGAATGGGACACATCCACTTTAAGGCAACAGGGAGAACACTATGCTGCACACTCAATATCTTACAGAACATTTTTAAATCAAGGGTCTTAAATATGCTGGTAAATTAACCTATTCTAATGATCGTATAGCCTAACTAATGTACATAGTGTCATCAATAAGTGTGTAGTTTCTTCTGGGCTTTTTCTATAAAGCCACTGTTTAGTGCATCCACCACCACCATCATCTCTCTCTCTATCGCTCTCTCACACACAACACACACACACACACACACACACACACACACACACGGCTTGGATATCAGCTGGACCCCAAGGTGCAGACCAGTGTTGGCTGACATGACTTCAAGGTACGCAAGACACATGCAAAGACTACCACAAATGGAATGGGTCAGCCAACAGTATGTCATGCTGTGGTCCTGATCTAGACCTGATTTCACTCTGTATCTGTAGGTCCACTGTAGTAGGTATAGTCAAATCACAAAACATTCAAATGATGATGGACAGAAGGATTATTAATGCAGTGCCATGATACCTTAGTAGCAATCAAGAAATGCATGATGCAGACATGTCCCGCTTGAAGACTGGAGGGAAGTGAAGTTTAACTGTAGTCTGGACTTCATTTCCCAACAGCCCCAGTGTTCTTTTTTTTGTTTGCATGTTTTATATATATGTATATACATACATATACATATACATACACTTAATCCAGCAGCAAGATCACACCAGCAACACCTTGTGACACTGGCTTTCGCGTCTCTTCTGCCTACACCTGTGTGGGCAGATACGTTAAAGTAGCTAGCGATTATGGCATTTCACTTCTGCCCCAGAGCAGCGGATTGGCCGGTTGTATGTTACCATCATGTCGGGTCAACTCTTTACACAGTGTCTACAATTCGGGTCCTCGTTTCCGAGTCTCGAGGGACGCCATGCCTACGGGGCATTCTGCTATGTGCAAGCCAGCACACGTCTTGGTGTCCTCAGGATCAATGACTTCATTTAAAGAAAGTGACTGATTAATTAATTCAGGTGATTTAGTGTTCAGGCAGCATGAAATCCTGCAGTTACACCAGGCCCTCTATGATCAGGCTGAGAGAAGACTGGTCCAAAAAGACATACGAGATTAAGTTTACAAACACGGTGATGACATCACTAATGACTGCTGAGCTGTGTGGACAACCTCCAAACCCTGTGACTCCTCATTAATTCAGAAGCTTCCCTCCCTCCC